TTATGTGATACAAGGATAATTAGGATATTTAAGAAATATTATTAAACGGGTACCCACGGGTATGAATATCATCATACCCGCCCCCGCCCCATTTATAAACGGGTAAAAAATTATCCGTCCCCATTATCTGCGGGTACCCAATTAGTCTATCCATTTATTATCTGTAGCGGATTTTACTCGCAGATACCCGCGGGTGCGAGTATTTTTGCCATCCTTAGTCACACCCTCAAGCATTGCTAAATGCCACCCCTTTTTCCCTACTGAAAAAAAATATAAAATGAATGTATCAAAAAAGGAGGTTAAATGGAGTTAAACTCTCCAAGTAACCCACCTTAAAATCAATATACAATCACTAATTAAAAGCAAGTAAAGTGCCTCACAAATACAAAGGCAAAAGTAAACCTATACAAAGGAACTATGTACAAACATATGAAAAAGTCTTTAAGATTATCCCATTCCTTGATTTATCAACCGTTGCCTATTTTAATATGCAACAGTTTTTTGGCCTGTGCCCACGATGTCAAAAAAACTGTTACCTAAACTTCTAAGAACGATTTTCATGATCTTCATTGGCAATGGTTGTTTTTTATTTAAGGCAACACTATAAATTTTTAAAGAACGGTTTTAGAAATGTAGTCTATTTTTATAGGCAACACTTTTATGACCGTTGCTAGTGACATTAGGGAACATTTTTTTAAGGTTGTCTATGAGATAATATAGGTAACAATTTAGACTAAATTTAAGCTACAATTTTGTAAATATTGTCTAAATAAATGCCCAACGGTTATTTTTATATTGATTTATAATATTGGTAATAACACACCATTATTTAAGCAATAATCTTCACCATATACTATTTTTAAATGGTTGTAAATGTAATATATATATATATATATATATATATATATATATATATATATATATTAAATTTTACTTTATCCTGTGAAATCATATATATGTAATACGTACCTATAATTATAATACAAATAGTATATTAAACAACTTATATTAATAAGTACTATATATTATTTTGGATTGATAATCCTCTTGTACATCCTCTTCTTCAAGAAGACGTTTCTCATGTGATCAATAAAGAATTGATTTCACCCTCCAAAAATAATAAAACAAATTATAAAATAAAATCCAAACACATGTAAAATTCACTTGCATTAATTAGTTACAAGTATATGACAATTCAAAAGCATAAAACTCCAAATAAAATTATCCAAAGATGTCAAAGTTTACATAAAATTTCTAAATTTCAATATAAAGTGTTATCTAGGAATATTATGCATAGCTAGTCATCTATCCATGTAAGTAACATCATTCAGTCTCTTCATCATCATAAGGCTGATCTTCATTATCAAGTCTTTCCTGCACATAAATATATATTTTCACTTAGAAAACTTATAGAATTAATCCCCAATCAATCTCCAACAATTAACATAACTCCTTTGCTTTGTTTATTCTTACCTAATACCTTTTCACGCTTGATTTGAAATCTCCTAAGTAATTTAGCACTTGATTTCACTTCACCTTCAAAATTGAAGATATCTTTTTCACGTTTGTCTGTAGTACTCATATTTTACTTTAAAATTCCTTCCTTCTGCATTTTGTACCTACAAAATGAAAAATATAATTATTGGATAATACTGCTTGCTGTAATAGATTACACATTCACTCTTAGACACCAAACAATAACTTCTGCATAACATGAGTTATAGAGCTTCACATAGCATGGGATTAGATTCATTAGAAAGATAAGACACTAACCTACTTATGATTAAAATTTTATAATTTTAGAGTTTGACATGTAGTACCAGTTTTTATTTTAAAATAGTTTAGTCCTTGTTGTAACAGATTACACATCCTCTCTTAGACACCAAATAGTAACTACTGCATAACTTGAGCTCTAGACCTCTAAATAGCATGGGGTTAATTTTGTTAGAAAGCTAAGACACTAAGCTTCTCATAATTTAAATTTTAGAATTGTATAGTTTGACATGCAGTACCAGTTTTTATTTTAAAATAGGTCAATCCTTGTTGTAACAGAGTACACATCCTCTCTTAGACACTAAAGAGTAACTACTGCATATGTGGAGCTTTAGATCTCCAAATAGCATGGGGTTAATTTTTTTAGAAAGCTAAGACACTAAGATTTTCATAATTAAAATTTTAAAATTTTATAGTTTGACATGCAGTACCAGTTTTTATTTTAAAATAGGTCAATCCTTGTTGTAACAGAGTACACATCCTCTCTTAGACACTAAAGAGTAACTACTGCATATGTGGAGCTTTAGATCTCCAAATAGCATGGGGTTAATTTTTTTAGAAAGCTAAGACACTAAGCTTTTCATAATTAAAATTTTAGAATTTTATAGTTTGGCATGCTGTACCAATTTTTATTTTGAAACAGATCAGTCCTTGCTGTAACAAAAGTCCATGAAGTCCAATAATTAGTCCTCTATGACTGTGTATCCATTAGTCCATGAAGTCCAACAATGTGTCATCAAAATCAGACTCTTCTTCATATTCTTCTTCTTGCATAACATGCAAAGGTTTCTCAATGATTGTTGCGGGTATATCTTCCCTAACCCAGTTAAATTCACCATCATCATTTGGTGCATTTACACCTCTTGGCTCCAACTGCTCACTCATGTTAAATACATCTCGTGGCATTGTTTTCATAACATAATGCCTATTTTCATTAAAAGGATCTTGGATATAAAAACATTGATGGACTTGAGAAGCTAGCACAAAAGGATCATCTTGATAACATCTTTTGTTGAAGTGTACACAAATAAGTCCATATTTGTCTTCTTCAACCTCAAACCAATCACACCTAAACAACACAAAATTGAAGTGGCCATAATAATCTAACTCAATGATATCAGTAATTGCTCCATAATAAGGGATAGATTCTATCTTGGGATATATATATATATTAAATTTTACTTTATCCTGTGAAATCATATATATGTAATACGTACCTATAATTATAATACAAATAGTATATTAAACAACTTATATTAATAAGTACTATATATTATTTTGGATTGATAATCCTCTTGTACATCCTCTTCTTCAAGAAGACGTTTCTCATGTGATCAATAAAGAATTGATTTCACCCTCCAAAAATAATAAAACAAATTATAAAATAAAATCCAAACACATGTAAAATTCACTTGCATTCTTTTTTTTTTCTATGTTTTTTCATGCCTTCTTTCAATTTTTCTTCTTCTTGCCTTAGAATTATCAATTCTTCCTCAAGATAAGCAAGCTGGCCTTCCCTTTCAATTTTATCTCTTTCTCTTTGAAGAGACTCTTGCTTTTTCCATAGTTTAAGTGATTTGAGCTCCTTTGTAATGTATGAAAGACTTTTTGGAGAGCCATCACTTTCACTATGGGAGGAATCCTGAGACATTTTAAGACAAAAAGATTTTTCATACAAAGTTTTTAAGAAAATATTATTTTTGGGAAGTGCTTAGACTTGACACTTGGAGGTCTAAGAGTACAAATTGAACTTTGGAGGGAGGTGAGCTACTAAAGAGCCACTTAATAACCAAGCCTCTTCAAGTAAAAATCTCTAAACCCCCTTGTACGTTCGCCTTGCACAAAACAATTTTCACAAAGATATTTTTGAAAGAAAAATAACAAGCAAGTGCCTAAAGTGTACAATTAATCAATGCTTTAAAACATAAAGTGCTTGAAAACATAAATGGCAAGAAAGCATAAATTGCTTGAAAACTTAAATTGCTGAAAACATAAATTTCTTAAAACATAAATTGCATGAAAACTTAAAGACAAGAAAACATAAACTAGGCGTTGAAAGCAATTAAACCTAGGTGAGAGCTTGGAAAGCACCAAAGACTTCCAAGGACCCTCTCACAAGTACTACACGGATTTAATACTTGGAACACTTAAGGAGAGATGGAGATACACCAAAGGAACTCCAAGACACTCCTTAATAAAGGCCTTGTACAAAAATGTGAATTAAAAATTTACAAGAAAAATGAAATGCAAATTTACACCAAATGAAATGCAAATTCTCACTCAAATGAAATGTAAATTCACACCAAATGAAATGTAAATTCACAATCATATGAAATTAGTTGCTGCACTTAATTTCAAAGAAAACAAAATTAGCCACTAATTAGAGACAAATTTAGAGACGGATTTTTTAAGGAAAATAGGTTTAGAGACAAAAATTTCCGTCACTAAAATTGGTCTCTAAAGTTCACAAAATTTTCTAAAAATTTGTTGCTCCTTCTCTTCCAATTCCAGCCACCAAGGTTGATGTCCTCTCAAGTGTATCACTCCACTTTTTAGAAGTAGGTTGATGTCCTCTCAAGTGTATCACTCCACTTTTTAGAAGTAGCCTTGATATTGGATACTTCTAGGTGTTTAGAACTCCAAGCCAAAATTTCAATGGAGACTAATCTCTAGATCACCTCCAAAAGCCTTCAAACTTGACTTCCTTTGAACTTGGCCTTCCACACCTTCAAGAAGCACTCAACACACCTTAAGTTGCTGGAAATTTAAAGCAAAAACTGAAAAGGAACAATTAGAAATGGCTACACCAATTGGTGGAAGTAGATGAGACAAGACTAGAAAGAAATCCAAGAAAGACAAGCAACAATTAAAGCACAATTTTGAAAGTTAGCACACAAAAGGAAACCTAACAATGACACTAGAATAGATCATAAAATAAAAGCTAAGATTATAAAGTAAAATAAGACTCAAACAATGTATATGTGGCTGGACATAAAATTGAAGACAAGGCACACAAAATTTTACCAAAACTGAGAGCAATATTTCACTAGAATTTTCACTCCTTGGCCTTTTCTTGTGTTCTTTTCTTTTGAATTCTTTTGTGAATTCTTTTGTTATTTCTTTTTCTTTGTTAACACAGGAGTCTAATGCCTTTTAATCAAGTGTATGTCTCGGATTTAACTAATAAAACTGCTGCCAAAATATTTTCACAAAACAAGAGGTGTTCACATGCATACTCTAACTAGTGCTTCACAATTTTGTAGTATTTTTAGATCAAATTTTTAGGCACTATTTTCTTTTGTTTTTCTCGTGCAATAAGAACACATACACCTCTGTTTTGTCTCTGTTTTTACGCTTTAAAAATTGATATAAGTTTCAGCCACACACAAGACTCAAAGAAACCTAATAGGAATTAGTGTTTAACAATTGTTTTTGACAAAACTTTTAACAAGACATATAGGAAACCTAACTCTAGGAAATTTGCTAGAACTAAAAGCAAATCATGAACTCAATCATATAAAGCAAAAGAAAATTTAGATAGGTTCAGATTTAATAACAAAAATGACGCATCAATCAATGAGTGAAGAACAACACAAAATTAGGTCAAACAAGCTAGTATAGGAATTTTCAACATACAAAGGACTACACATGACTTCTAAGACAAAACAAGTGATTCAAAAATAAAACTAATGCAATATGAATGTTGTCCAATCACGGACACATGTTAAGGAATGGAGAGACTCAAACAAACAACAAAAACGCACAAGAACAAGAGTCCTAAAAGCACAAACCGAATTGATTCACAAGAATTGGAAACAAGCAAAATATGAATCAATTACTTCTCATGAGACATATAGGATCCATCAACATATGAAAAAAATTAGATGCATACAGAAAACACACATTAAGACATAGAAAAGGAAGAGTAGACAACACGAATTCAAGTTGAACAAATTAGAAACACAAAACCTCAAGAGCACCAAAGCTCTAGATACCAAAAATGATGGAAGCTAGATGAAGAACGGTTGTTGAATCTCCATAGCTCCACCTTAATTCGACCTTTGCTCCTTGAGGTTGATGGATTAGAAGCTTGAAACACCTTTGAAGAACCTTCAATGGTGGAGAAGCAACTTGGATGGTTCGGCCACTTCAAGAAGCTTGAAGAAACTTGCGGAACCTAGCTCAAAGGTTGAAAACCTTTGAAGAAAAACCTAGAGGAGAAGCTCCACGATTTTAGGGACTTAAGAGAAGAGAGAATTCTTAGAGAATTTCTGAATTCATTCATCAAAAGTGAAGGTTTAGGTCAGATTTACAAATATATAGGGAGAGGTAGCTTGTAGTGTAAGCTAACCTTAACCATGGTTCACTAGGAACCATGGTAAGGTTTAGCCTAACCATCCATGGTTTCTAAAACTTGTAGGAGAAGCTAACCTTGACCATGGTTCACTTAAGAACCATGGTAAGGTCAGCCTAACCTACCAAGGTTTAGAAGCTTGGAAGGCAAGCTTCAAAGCTTGAAGGAGAAGCTTCACAATTTCGGCCAAGAACAAAGAGATGAGCTAGGCGACCAAGTCTCAAAATGCTCACTTGATTTATTTCAAAAATATTTGATTTGGTTTAGTTAGGTTCATCATATGATGATGAGACCTAGCTAAATCAAATCTATGAAAAATTAGGAGCAAAATGAGTCTAATATGCAAAATTTTGCCTAGGCCCAGTTCTGACCCAATTGTCAGTCACACCCTTAAGCATTGCTAAATACCACCCCTTTTTCCCTACTGAAAAAAATATAAAATGAATGTATCAACAAAAGAGGTTAAATGGAGTTAAACTCTCCAAGTAACCCACCTTAAAATCAATATACAATCACTAATTAAAAGCAAGTAAAGTGCCAAATACAAAGGCAAAATTAGACCTATACAAAGGAACTATTTACAAACATATGAAAAGGTCTTTAAGATCATCCCATTCCTCTTGGTTCTTTTAAGATATCACCTCTTGAATTCCTTGGCCTTGGCCATAGTCTATCATTGATACTTCACCCTTGGCCGAGAGGGGTGCTCGGTAGGGGGTTGATAATTCATTCTTGGCCGAGTATTAGGTACTTGGGAGGGATTTGATTGTTCATCCTCGGTCGAGTAGCAGGTACTCGGGAGGGCTTGTTTGCTCATCCTTGGCCGAGTGGTAGGCACTCGGGAGGGCTTGTTTGTTCATACTTGACCGAGTGGTAGGTACTCGAGAGGGCTTGTTTGTTCATCCTTGGCCGAGTAGCAGGTACTCTGGAGGGATTTGATTATTCATCCTTGGCCGAGTAGCAGGTACTCGGGAGGGCTTGTTTGATCATCCTTGGCCGAGTAGTAGGTACTCGGGAGGGATTTGATTGCTCAGCCTTGGCCGAGTAGCAGGTACTCGAGAGGGCTTGTTTGTTCATCCTTGGCCGAGTAGTAGGTACTCGGGAGGGCTTGTTTGTTCATCCTTGGCCGAGTGGTAGGTACTCGGGAGGGCTTGTTAATTCATCCTTGACCGAGTAGTAGGTACTCGGGAGGGATTAAGTTTGTTAG